CCTGCTGTGACATACCGGGGTGGGGGGCCTGTCACACAGCTGGGGAGTTTAACCCGGCTGCCGTAGACTCTGTCTCCCTGGAGCTGGTGTCTCTGCTCCTCTGAGTCTCAGCCCAGGTGTCTCTCTGCCCTTCCCCCTAGTCGCCCCCAGGCGAGGTGGGAGCGCCCCGCGTTGAGTTCCAGCCCCACATTCGGACCCACAAGTGCTGGTGGGTTCCAATCCCAGCTGAACACGCCCACTCAGCCCGAGTGCGGAGCAGAAGGGCCCTGTGCTGCCCCACAGACCCTCTGGCTCTCTGAGCCCACTCTTACCCATTGCCTCCCCGCAGCACGGCTGTCCCAGGCTGAAAGCTGCTGCTCTGTGCAGATAGGCCGTCTAGATGGAGGCAGCACGTGGCTGGCACTTATAGCTCCTGCCGAAGGAGGGGCAGGTGCTGCTACGGACTGCTCCCCCAAGCCCTGTCCTGCTGCGTGCTGGGGATGCTGCCTACTGTGGAGCTGTCAGGTGTCTTGAACTGGAATTTGTTTGGAAAGAAACTGTGCTAAGGAGCCTTATCAGCCCGAGCAGAGAGTACCTGGGAGCCTGCCTGGTCGGGCGGGTCTGGTACAGCATCTCCCCAGATAAGGCTCTTCCCTGGACCTGGAACGATTCCCTCCGAGGTAACACACGGGGCAGCCAGGGCAGGGCACGGCCTGCTCCCCTGGAGCGTTAGGGCTTTCAGGAGTCAGAGGTGCCAGGGGAGCAGGTTGTGGTTGTACGTTAAAGCAGCGAAGAAAGTTGGGGGGCAGAGGAATTGGGTGCTGTGGTCCCCTCACGTCTTGGGCCTGTTTGGAGGCAGAAGTCACTGTCCCTTTTATCCATGGAGTGCTCAATACCCCCTTCTCATGTAGTCCTTGGCGTTGGGAGAGGGAGCATGTTCCCAGCTGTAGGGTGTTCGGCCAGGACTCATGGACCCCTATTCCAGGATGGGGGAGTGAGCTGGGAGAGAGGTCTCCATGTACCCTGAAATTGTCAGTGGCTTCTGGATTCCTCTGGGAAAGGGTTAACCAGGGGGTTAGTTTCGTCCACACTTGGCTTTCTTGGCAGTGCTGGACTCTGCTGGCGGGGAGGGGTCCATCTCGCACCCTTTCACCTGGCAGGGAAAGTGCCCCAAAGGTTAGGATGTTCTCACAGGCTGTCGTAGTTACTGTGACCTTGGCAGGGAGGATTGGTGGCTTGTGGGGCATCGGATACCCCCCTTCCTCCTAGAGCTGTGCCGTAACCAGAACATCGCCCCAGGGGGAGAGGGCTTTGGGAGCCCTGGGCGCCTTGGAGCCAGGGCTTCTCTCAGCAGCCTGGAAGCCCAGGTGACCCATCAGCCTGTTGGAGAGGTGGGCAGGCGGGTGAGCTGGCCTAATCCCCAAATTGTCCAAATCGACGTGTTCCCGCGAAACGTTTGGATTTTGACACGCTGCCAACTTCTGAGGCAAAAACGGCTCCACTGGCACATTCTGACCAGTGCTTCTCCCGACCGCAGAGCTGCCCCTGCATGTTTGCTGAGTGTGGAATCAGAACGGACTTGACCCAGGCGTTTGTACTCTGGGACGCCATCTCAGGCCAGCTCCCCCAGTGTCCCCACGCTCACATTCTCCTCGTGGTGACATCTGACCCTGGGGAAATGAAAGGACTCTGCGGGTTGTTTCCAGCAGCGTGAGCTTTAGCTGTAGGCTTCTGTCCCCAGCCATGCCACGAAGGAATCTGTCTGGCTAGGCTGGGCGTCCTCCCTCATATGTGGTCAGAGGTCACACAGGCCCTGCCAGTGACTAGGTGGCAGTATCTTGCCCTGGGAAAAAACAGACACCTACCGTGTGCTCACCCCAGAGATGTCTTTCTTTCTGCAAACTGAAGAGGCCTCTCTCCTGTAGCCGCAGCAGAGGCTGTGAGGAGGCCAGCAGGCCCTGTGGTCCCTCTCAGATTGGGGGAGGGCCTGACCAGTAGCTTTAAAGGCCAGAAGACCCCACAGAACAGGTGGGGAACAGGACTGGGACGTTCCGTTGCTGTTCCATGGTTCCTTTGTCCTCAGCTGAAGAAGAAACTAAGCTCTGAAGCAAGGCTGCAGACTGCCCTGGCCATGGGGCTGACCCAGTGTTCACCAGAGGGGGGAGAAGGAACAGTCACACTGGTGGGCTCCTTCTTCTAAAAAGAAAAAAATCAGAGCATGTTTTCACATTTGACTTTTGACTCCCCAGCCAATGGGTGTAAAAAGTCAGCCTAGAATGCCCGGCTCCTGCTGGCTGCTCCGATGGAGACTCCACTTCCCCTCTCCTCCCCGTAAGGCAGGGGAACTGCCAGCCACTGCCTGTTACTCTCTGCATCCAGCAGAAACACTCCTCTGCTTCCTGCTGCCCTCTCCTCTGCTGAGGTCCCACATCCCCTGCTCTGGGATCCTCTCTGCTATGGGGCCAGATATGAGGGGAGGTCTGTGCCCTCAGACCCTGGGGCTCTCACACAGAGCTGGGGGAGCTGCCATGATTCCCCCCATCTGCCAGCCCCAGCACTGTCCCCTGTGCACAAACCCCAGCCTCCAACATCTCCCTGAGCCTCCCTCCTGCCCCTCTTAGCCTCCTTCCTGTCCCCATCCCCCTGTACCGCCCTCAGCCGCCCTTGGCCCCCCATACTCCCTGCCCCCTCAACCTTCCCCCACATTCTCCTGCCGCCGGCCCCCACATGCCCCTGCAACTCCCTAAGCCACTCTCATGTCCCACGCGATCACCTGCCAACCCCTCAGTCTCCCCCCGGCCACATCCCCTCACAGTTCCCAGTCCCCGTGCGCCATCCAGCCCCCTGAACCCTGGCGTCAGCCAGGCTGCCTGTGGGCTCAGCTTCAGCCTCCTCGAGCCCCGCGTGAGGTGGCAGCCAGCGTCAGGAGGGTAGCCTGCCTGCCTCATGCAGACAGAGCATGGGCATGTGGCGGCCCTCACGCAGGCCTCAGCCCCCTGGCAGCAGTGGGAGATGGCGGCCGTTTTGATGAAGGGACAATTGGTGAGTTGGTGCCTTTGGCCATGTTTCCATGGGACAGGTGAGAAGCCCCCACAATCCCGAGTCACCATCAGAGCGCGAGGGCGGCCGCTGCTGCCCCTGCTGTGCATGCGGTCGGCCCAGCACGCCCAGCTCACCCCCCATCTCCTGGCCGCTCCTGGCCCAGGGCTCTGTCTCCATGCCCCGAGGGGCAGGCGTGGAGGGCCCAGGAGCCCAGCAGCAGGCGTGTGTCCCCTGCTCAGCCAACTGCAATCAGACAGGGCAATCAGCCAGAATCCATTGGAAGCTGCTTTACTTGTTTGTTGGGGCAGCCAGAATTAATGGGGCAGGCAGCAGCTGGCATTCGGGGTGTGCGGGAAGGGGGCAGCATGAATTGCACGCGGGAGAGTCGTTTGTTGTTTGCTTGAGGGCACAAATTCCCCTTCACCCCAAAACCTGGTCCCCAAATGATCAGACTGGAGCACATCGCACTAAGCAAACTGGTGCGACATGCAACGAAATAAAGGTGTCCCATCTCGTGTCCTTTGTCACACATTTCAATGGATTGTGCCCTGTGCTGGCAGGTTGCAAGGTTGAGAGGCGTGCATCCAGGTGAACCGTCTGGGTGCTTTTTTCCAGAACTATATGGACATGGAGCTGCTCCCTCCAATGCACCAGTTCCTGCCCCCTGCATCCCAGCCAGAGAGCTGGGACACAGAAAGCAACTGCCTTGACAGTCACTGAATGAATCCAGTTTGATCCTCTTCCCTGTGGTCCAGATGCAGCAACAGCACAGTCTCGCTCCAGCCTACCCCACTCAGGTATCTCCTCACCTGGCTGTGACCTGTAGGGACAATTGCGGGGGCGGGGGGGCAGGGGAGGGAGTGTGTTCAGTCTCTGTAACCCCACGTGCAAAGCAGGGGGTTAGTGATACCAAATGGAACTGAAAGTCCGAGGGGGGCGGGGAGAGGGGTTCCCACCTGGTGTGTGGGTTTGCTGAAAGGCGCCTACAAAACATTGGACCTACCCAGGGCTTAAAGACAGAGCTGGAAGTCCTGGGTTCTTCTCCCTAGAGCTGAAAACACTGTGAAACTGGCATCGGTGGGCACCATAGAGCTGGTGCTGTGGGTGGTGAAAGACAGCGTACAGGGTGCAGCAGCCCCCTAGCCAGTGAAGTCACTAAGAGCGGGACTCACTCCGGGCTGGAGGCCCCTCAGAGCATGGCATCGCAGAGCATGGAGCAGCAGCGGTGCTGAGCAGAGGCAGAGGCATCCCTGGCCTGCCCCTTCTCTCCCTGGCGAACCCCCCTTCCCACCACAACACCCCCTGGATTCTCGAACTCTGCAGAGCTTGGCCAGTAAACCGGGTGTGGGGACAGCAGAGGGAAAATGGAAGGGGTGCGCCAAAGGGGCATTTGTCCATTGGACTCTCACCCCAAGGTGGGAAACTGAGGCAAGGGGCTGCTGCCCAATGTATTGTAGGGCAGGCGTTTCACTCAGTTCACAGACTGCTGAGTCATTCTTGTGATTTCGCCAATTCATGCTGCGTTTCTTTCTCCTCTAAATAAAAGTTCTCATGTGTTAGACACAGACTCAGATCTTGCGATGCGGGAAGAGCTGCCTGTTAGGGGCGTGGTGGTCAGTTTCCCAGATTTCTGGGTGGGGCGGTCCAGCTGGTTCTGGTTTGCAATGCTAAGAGGAGCCCCGAGATCCTGACTCCAGTCCTTGTCGCTGCCAATACCACCTGGCACAAGCGTTACACCCCCATCACGTTCTGCACAACCCCCATTCCTGCCATTTCCTCTGGTTTGATCCTCTCCATTTAGTGCGTCCTTTGTCTGGAAGGCCGATGCAGAGTCCTGCTGATAAATTAAATCCCTGGCTCACACCTGCCCAACTTCAGAAACATTGGCGTCCTCAGGAAGGAGGGAGGGAGCCCAGGAAGTCTGGTATCTGCAGTAAATAAAGAATGGGCAGACGTTCCGTTGGGGCTCCCTCCCTGCCCACAGGCCAGGCTTGAGGCCAGCAGCTGAAAAAGCAAGATAAGCTGGGGTGTGGAGTGGCGCTTTCTCCATAAAGGGATGGAGCCCTGGCTCTGGTTTCTGATGTGGAAGTGGGATGCTTCAGGTTGCTAACTCGTCCGCTCAGCTGCAGCCTCGGGATGGGTGAGTTTTATTGAAATGCCCAGCATTTCACGCAGCCTGGAGATATAGGGCCAGAGCCCGGTGGCGGGCACCAGAGGGCCAGGCGGTGTGGGTACGTGGGGGAGGTGCAGTGGGCAGGGCATTCTGTCCTGCCCCTGTGGGACACCATGTGCCCTGAGTGCCTGGGCACAGGAAGGAACGTACCCATACAGACGCAGTAACTACCGCACAGAAAGGGGCAGCCTGCACTCCTCTCAGTGCCGCCCCTGAGCCCGGGCAGGTGCACAAGGGGGAGGGGAGTCTTGGTGCATCCTCTGCTTTCCTGAGCCTGGCTGGCCGAGGCACAAGGGACGGGGCACAGTGAAGTACACGCTGCTTTTCTTTTGAAACGGAGCAGCATTTCCCCCAGCAAGTGCATGCTGCAGCATGAGCCTGGCTAGCTAGGAGTCTGGCAGTGCCTCCTGGTTGGTAAAGAGTGCCTCTGGGGTTATGGGGTACCAGGAGCCTGGCAGGGATCCCTTGCTCAGCACTCTGCTGGACCCTAGGCAGGAATTCTCTCTCCATGCCCCAGGTACCTTTGGGCATTGGGGCCAAAGTACTTTAGAACAAAAAGGAACTAACATAAGCCATGTTTTAAAAATGGGGAAACTGAGGTTTGAGCAGTGTAATGAGGTTTCCAAGGCACAGGTAGAACTCAGGCCCTCTCTGTCTTAGACCAGCATCCCTCCCCTCCCACCGCACCGCACTGCCCATCTACTATTACACTGTGTTAACGACTGCTAGCTGGTAGCGTCCCCTCTCCTCTGGGTCGTCAGGAGTAGGTGAGGCGTGTTTTCAAGGATGAGTGACTCCAGATTGTTATTTCACTTCAATTCTAAACGTAATTCTGGCTTGTCAGACTCACTGAAATCCTTCTCCGCTAAAGCTTTTACCCTTTGCCTGCCATGGGGTTACGCATCTCTCTTCTTTCTCATAATGATGCCTGAGATTGCTGGCAGCGTGTCACTTGGGCTGTGACATTGTCTGAAGAATTTGGGTTCCATCTCCAGAAAGAAGGTGTTTCCAATTAAATCTGTCTGTGGATCATGTCTGGGCAAAGTGACAGGTTTCAGAGTAGCAGCCGTGTTAGTCTGTATCTGCAAAAAGAAAAGAAGTACTTGTGGCACCTTAGAGACTAACAAATTTATTTGAGCATACAAGCTGTCAGCATAGTCTGTGTGATATGTAGATTGTAATGGATTTTTTACCTTCAATCCTTTTGGTATGATGTCCATCTGTTTGCATTTGGAAAGGAAGATGATGTCTGTCTGTATCTGTATGAGTTTTTTCATGAAGTTTCATGAAGTTTATTTCATGCTCAAATAAATTTGTTAGTCTCTAAGGTGCCACAAGTCCTCCTTTTCCTTCTGGGCAAAGTGTTTCCATTGGAACAGTGTTTTTCTGCTTGTTGTTTACACTTTGTTCTCTAATTCATTTGCACGTTTGTATCACGGTCACATGTGGGGTTAGTTTGGTCACTTGTGGGGTTAGTTGTGGACTTTCTAACTTTGCAACACCACATGAATACAATGGTGACTAACAGAAAGCACTGTGCCAGACTCCGGTGTGGCTTTAGCCTGTTCTGGTTTGACCCCCCACCCCTCCCCGCACCTGCCCTGCCTCACCCAACAACAAAACTGCCATTTTGCAACTGTAATGGGCCAGCAGCAGCCCTGATGAAACTTGGGACCTCTGGAGCTTAACACATAAGCCTCTGCTGTAGGGTTCTCAACCTATTTGCCATTGGGGACTGCATATGCAGCTCTCTGTGTTATGTGGGCTGTGGCCACACAATATGTAATACATGAGCCCATGATAGGTATACTTGGCCGGGGGCCTGCGGGGTGAATCAACCAGTTTCTCTCCAAGAATCTGGATGACTCTGGGCTGCTGATCCCTGCAAGATCATTGTGAATCCCTGCGCTCAGTGCTGAAAGTGGCCTGGGAAAAGCACGTGCAGGGAGGGGGGTTCTATGATAATCTCAGCTGAAATAAATGGCCATGCACTTGGTAGGGCGGCTCTTACAGTGCACCCCTCAGTGAGTTGGCTCCATTTTTAACTCTTCTTGGCTGGGACGGTGGCCCCCGGCGACTCTGCCAACTTTAAGCCTGGCCTGAGCTGGGCACACAGAACAGCTGCAGTGTCAGCAGCATGTCCCCCTCTGGGCTGCTGGCCTGCAGTGCAGGGGGTAGCATGCCTGGTGTGTGGCACACAGCAGCTCTGTGCCCTGGGCACCTCTTACCTGCTGGAGCCTGCCCAGCTGCTGTCTCTGTGCGTGGGTGAGTGGGCCCTGCCCTCCGGCTGGCGGTAGTGACTGTGGACAGGGTGCAGCTGGGACAGAGGGGGTTGCTCCGAGCTTCGCTCAGTGCAGCAGGCACCAGGAGCATGGACTCAGCCACACGCGGGGCTTAACACTGGGGCCTCTCCAGGCCAGCGAGGGTCACTGCTGCGGAGGTCACTGGAGCCCTGGAGCAGAGAGTGCACGGGACGGGGAGAGGGCTGCTCCCCACCCTGCCTGCTGTGACTGCCCCGTCAGGCATGTGTCCCTCCATGCCAGCTCCCAGACAGTCAGGGGCAGGGGAGATCCCATTCCCCAAAGCCATGGGAGACCCTGGTTGGGAACCTGCCCATGGGACAAATTTCCACCTTGCACCAGCTGTTGCGTACAAATAATGGTACAAATGTAATGCAGTGACTTCCAGGGCAGCCTCCTGCTCTGGCTGTGAGCTCTGGGTCCTGGCCAGCGGCGATGGGCAGGCGGGTGCTGTCTGCTGCAGGAAGCCCAGGGCGCACTGCAGCCTGGACTATGCTCATCCCCCTCAGAGGCTAGTGGGGGGCATGTCCCCCCATTGCTCCGGATGCCTCGGGCGCGGACGCCCAGCAGGGAGGAGGCAGCACTCCCCTTGCAGTGGTGCTCTGAGTGTATCCCTGCAGCGTGGAGAGAGAGGAGTCAGCTGGCTGCTGGCTGAGCTCTTTCCCCACCACTGGGGGCTGCTTCGCCTGCCCTGCTGGCAGGGAGCTCTCCAGCCGGCCCTGCCCGGGACCCGGGAGCCAGGCAGTTGGAGCCACAATCTTTGAATGTTTTTTAGCATTCAGCTGGGTCCCAGCTGTGTGCTAATTGGGCCTACTGCAGAGACGGAGACAGTGGCTGGGCCAGGGGAGAGGTGTGTGTGGGCAAAGTGAATGGTGGGCTTCACCCCGTCTCCAGAGACTTGGGCCAGTACCCCCGAGGCTGAGCCCCTTTGAACATCCAATCATTTCCTGCAGTGCGTACCTGGGAGCTGAGCTCTTGTGAAAATCTGGCCCAGTTGTTGAGCCCTCTGAAAACTCTGGGTAACATTTTCAAGAGTGGCTAATTTGACAGGTTTCAGAGGAACAGCCGTGTTAGTCTGTATTCGCAAAAAGAAAAGGAGTACTTGTGGCACCTTAGAGACTAACCAATTTATTTGAGCATGAGCTTTCGTGAGCTACAGCTCACTTCATCAGATGTATACCGTGGAAACTGCAGCAGACTTTATATACACACAGAGAATAAGTCACTTAAATGTCTAAATCCCGGTGACTTGTAGTGGGCACTTGTGAAACTCTCTCCTGGTCTCATGTCCAGCGGTTTCTGTCCCCAGCAGGGTTCCAGTCCAGCTCTCTCCTGCTTCTGTCTGTCCTGTCCATGACGGCGCTCCTTTCTGTAGCCCCCGTGCAGGGCAACGGGACCCTGGCCCACAGGAAGGTCAAGAGGGGTGAGTAGAGAACCCGTCAGAGAGCTTCTATCATCTGCCATATTCGAGATCAGGGTATTGTGGGCCTGATTCTGCTCCTCTCCCCCATGCCAGTGTCACCCCCATATGCACTTATCCACTGAATGCACCTTCCAGCCACCCCCTCTGCCAGCACTGGGCCCAGAGGGACACCAAGTTCTCCGAAGGGTCAGCAAGGCCGGCCTGGCCTAGTGAGCTCATTACTGTACTCCCATTCGGAGGCCCCCAGCGCCTGGGGATGGGCCAGCGGGGTGGGGGAGGTGCTGCTCAACTGGCTGTTTGCTTTACACAGCTTCATTATCCCTTTCTCCAGTAAAGGCTGCCAAGCCGCCGGCGGAGACTGAAGAGCGTTGGTACCAACCACAGGGCAGAGTGTGGGAACCAGGCACACACTCCAAATTGGCTGGGAGTTCTACACTTAAATCTCACCAACTTCTGTGCTAAGCAAGCTCTATCTGTCCTTTAGGGCTAGCCCAGGCTCACAGCTGGGAATCTCTTGCTCGTGCCTAGAAGCCTTGCCCCTGGAGTCCAGGCAGCGCTGAGCGCCAGTTCCTCCCTCTTAGGGGTTTTCATTCCCTTCTCCCCACACCTCCATCGGCTCTGAGAGCTGCTCAGGGGCTTTCCCAGGCAGGCCGGGGGCTGAGCCAGCTCCCGAGGTGGCACTGAGCCCCTGCCCCCTGCAGTGCTCAGCAGCTCAGCTCAGGAAGGAGGCTTAGCTATGGGGGAGGGGGCCAGAGCTGGTGGGGCACACAGGGGGATTGTCTGGTGGGTATGGGAGCTGAGGGAGTCAGGCTCAAGGGAGGACCCTGGGGAGGGGAGGGGCAGTTACACCAGTATAACCACAATGCTATCATTCTACCAGGATAGTTCAGGACAATTTCCCCCCCCAAGATAAGCCCCTCGATAGGATGTTGTCTGGAATTTTCAGAGGCGTCACAGGGAGTTGGGTGCCTAAATCCCACTGAATTCCAACTGCAGTCGGGTGTCAAACTCCCTTAGGCTCTTTGAAAAATCCCATTTAAATTGTCACCTGTGGGTTTCATAATTAACATTCACTGAGATGGATCTGGCAGTGTCTCCCCCACCCTCCCCAAACTATTTCTTCAGCATTACAGACTCAGGAACGATACAGAGCTTTGGTTTCCACTTGATTCATCTCTTCAAGGTTTCTTCAAAAGCAGCAGAGCAAGAAACTATTATTTTTATTTTATTTATTTTTTTGGTAAAATGAAAGTGTAAGACCTGAAGCCAGATTCTGTGGCCAGGAATGGCCGGGGCAGATTCTGTGTCTGTGGAATTGTGAAATACACAGGACCTGCCTCTAAAAACCCAGGCTCCAGTTACCCCTGGCTGATTTGCTCGAGCTAGCTAGCGTACTCTCTCTCTCTCTCCCCACTCCCCCGGCTCCCTTAACCTGCTGTATATGGTATTGCAGGGTTCCCCAGAGACTGCAGCTACATTCCCAGGGACAGCCCCAGCGGGATCCATGTCATCCAGCCGGAAGGCTCTCCCCCTCGGGTGGTGTGGTGTGACATGGACACCGAAGGCAAAGGCTGGACCGTTGTCCAGAGAAATTCTTACAACACAGAGATCACCTGGAAGGAGTCCTGGAGCACCTACAAGTATGGCTTTGGGAACGTGCAGGAGGATTACTGGCTGGGCAACGAGTACCTGTCCCTGCTCACGCGGCAGAACACCTACAAGGTCCGCTTTGTCGTGGAGGACAAATCCAACAACACCCGCTACGCGGAGTACGACATCTTCAGCGTTGAGGATGAGCCCAGCGGGTACCCGCTGAGGCTGGGCAGGTACTCTGGGGACGGCGAGGACTATCTCACCACCTACCACTCCGGCCTGGGGGGCATACACGACAACATGAAGTTCAGCACAACTGACAAGGATCAGGACCAGGCCAGTGGGAATTGCGCAAGTAGCTACGGAGGCTGGTGGTATGACAAGTGTCAGAACATCCTGCTCAATGGGAAAGGCTACATCTACTGGGCAGGGTTCTGTAAGAGCGGGGAGTGCAAGTCTTCCCTCATCCTGGTTAAGCCAACAGATGTGTGCTGGGTCTGGCAGAAGGAGCCCATCCTCCCTGGGAGCCGGCGCCGCTGAGAAGAGGAGACAATATTGGATCAGACACGGAGCTCCATCTCCCACCTAATCAGTGCAGTCCCTGCAATGCCTCCATTCTGCTCACCCTGTTCCCTGTTGGCTTCTTCACGGTAAATCCCCTGGAATAAACTCTGAGAGCTGACCCTGCCAGGACTTTACATCTGAATCTTGCATGTATTAGGGGTGGTGAGTTTGGGTTCAAAAACCTGGCCTCTGTCTTTTTAATAAATATGGTTATTACATGAGAAAACATTGCAACAGTAATTAATTGCCGATAAACCACTGACAGATTAGCTAGACATGCAACGAAACCACGAGATAAAGATATTGGTGTCCCTCATCAACCCAAGAGGCTAGTCAAAGTTTGGGGCCCTGGGGATGTTCCAGTGGGGAGCAGACATTGGCAATAGAGTCTGGTAATTTCTTTGATGTCTTGTTTATTTACAAGGCACACACAGAGTCCTGCTTCTCCAAACACAGTGGGTGGCAGTAACAGAGAAGAGCCTCCCTGCTTTCAGCTCCAAGCTTCTTTAGCCAGCACCTGGCCCAAAAGCTCTCTATACTCCTCCCAAGATCACACCCTGCTTACAGGCTCTGGTCGGCTTTCCTGCTCTGTCTCCATCCCTTGGCTGCACTGGCCATCTTGTCTTTTTCACACACGCACCTGGTCAGGACGATACTTGGTGGCATCCTCTACCCACCTGGTGCTAGTTTCTGGGCACGTGCCATCATGGCTTGTTCTACATGAGGCCCCCTTACCTGTTGCTTCCAGCTGTCTTAGATGAAGAGTGCATCCTCACAGCCGTGTCACTGAGATTCTAACTCCACCCATAACAAGGTATAATCCAGCTCCTAGCAATGTGTTGATCTGTCAGGCTGACATCCTCTCAGCATCTCTGAGCACTTTCTGCCTGTGTGGCTTCAGTCTTCACTTTAATTAATCACTTTAATAAAAGTTCATTGTGGCCAGATGCTGAACACCGTTAACGCTAACAGCCAGGGGCAGGCAGACCACCCCGAACAGGGAAAGGATGGGCTAAAGAATAACTAGATATATTCAAGTCAGCTGGGCCTGATGAAGTTCACCCTAGGGCAGGGCTCCCAAATTGTGGGCTGCAGCCCAAAGATGGGCCACTGGCAGTGGTGAAGATGGGGGGCATGTGAAGGGGCGTTGTCCGATCCCCCGCAAACTGCATCTTTCCATTCCCCTCCTGACCATGGCCCTTCAGTGCAGCCCCAGGACACACAGCCCTGTCTACTTGGCCTTCCTGACAAAGCCTGCATGGAGAGTGTGCGTAGGGGGGTATTTGTGGGGCAGGTTTGGAAAGAGGGATTTTTTCAGGAGGAGGGAAGCTGAGAGCATCTGATGTGCAGATGGCGGGGACGGGGTTGCTATTTTGCGGTTGGGAGTATCAGGGACCCCTCCCCGCCCCCGTGCACTGAGCTGTCCCCTCCATCTCAGTTGCTGGTGGTGAGGGGGGGCTGTGCTGTTTTGCAGTGAGGGATCGGGGTATCCCCCTCCCCAGGGCACTGATCTCTCCCCTTCCTGCCTCCCATCTCTGCTGTCTATGCTGGGAGCTACCCCCACCCTGCCCATTACAGGCTGCGCTCGGTGCCCTCCCCAGCCAGCCGTCCCTCTCCAGGCTGGAGCATGACACTGCCAGCAGGGCCATCCTCAGCCTGACCCCGGGCAGCCGGCTCGCCCAGCCGTTTTGCTGACTGGGGGCTCCCCTGCCAAATCCAGGGTTCCCCTGCACCATTCCCCACAGCTTGGGGTCCCACCCACACCCTAACTCCCCCCATGGCTACCCCTCTCCTTCCAAAACACCCTGAACTCTTCATAGCCACAGCCCATCTGCTCCCCCTCCCCATGAGCCACCTGTCAGCAGTACCCTCCATATTGGACCAAACTGCTCTAGGTCTCACCCCCACTGCCCCAGGGCCAGGCTGGCACTCTCTGGGGCTGGACCCCAGCTGTGACTGGGGTAACGGGGTCTGCTCCTTTCTCTGCCCTGTCTCTCCCCAGCTGGAGGGAGCTGCAGGAGAACCAGGCCCTGGCGCTGTGGCAATTCCAAGGCTGCACAGGAATGTGCTGCTCCTGCCCCTGGGGACGGGCAGCACCAAGGGACCTCAGCCACCTCCCACCAGTGCCCCTGCTTTGGCTCGATCTGGGGGGTGAGGCCAGGGCTTTTGTGGCCCCTGGCTCTGCAAGGGAACAGGTGCTGGGAATTACAGACCAGTCAGCCCAACTTCGAGGCCTCGGAAGCTACTGACCCAACGTAGCGAACACGCCCCTTTGCAAGCCCCTGGAGGAGAACAGGCTGATGAGCAGGGCTGTGGGTCTACAGTGTATAGTGCCCCAGCCTGGGTCTTTCCCCACCTGCCCTCTCCCTCCCCCCACCCCTCCCCATATGCTCCAGGCTCCTCAGCCCTCATCGGTGGCCAGTGAATATACTGGGGGCGGGAGGGAGGAAACGGCCAGGCTCTGCTGCCCAGTGTGCATGGGTCGCTGTTTTTGTCCCGGACCGGGGTGGAGGAGAGGCCTCAGGAGTGGGGGGATCGGAGGGTGAGGTCCCCTCGCACCCTGAGGCAGCGGCTCCTGTCCTGCAGGGCTGGGCCCCGCTCCAGCCCCTGGCGCTTGCGGCTTGAAGACTTGATGTGGTGGGTTACTCTGAATGGGGTGGGGTGGGGGTGGGGTGGGGTGGGGGGGTAGCCATCTGATCACTCCAAGAAGACAAGAGGGAAGGGACATCATCTGGAGTACTGTGTCCAGTTTTGGGCCCCACACTTCAAGAAGGATGTGGATAAATTGGAGAGAGTCCAGCGAAGGGCAACAAAAATGATTAGGGGTCTGGAACACATGAGTTATGAGGAGAGGCTGAGGGAGCTGGGATTGTTTAGCCTGCAGAAGAGAAGAATGAGGGGGGATTTGATAGCTGCTTTCAACTACCTGAAAGGGGGTTCCAAAGAGGATGGCTCTAGACTGTTCTCAATGGTATCAGATGACAGAACGAGGAGTAATGGTCTCAAGCTGCAGTGGGGGAGGTTTAGATTGGATATTAGGAAAAACTTTTTCACTAGGAGGGTGGTGAAACACTGGAATGCGTTACCTAGGGAGGTGGTAGAATCTCCTTCCTTAGAGGTTTTTAAGGTCAGGCTTGACAAAGCCCTGGCTGGGATGATTTAACTGGGAATTGGTCCTGCTTCGAGCAGGGGGTTGGACTAGATGACCTTCTGGGGTCCCTTCCAACCCTTATATTCTATGATTCTATGACACTGGCGGGTCCCCAGCCCTGAGTAACACTCCAAAGTGCAGATGGGATGCTGCTGCCAGGGCCAAAAGGGTGAGGGGCCCGGGGGGTGGAGGGGGGCTTGTTCCTGGGGGAGCCATAGGGAAGTGGAGCAATTGAGGACGGAAGAAGGGGGTTGGTGGAGCTGGGAGCCTTTGGGCTGCTCAGTAGGGTAAATGGACATGAGTGTTGGGGCAGCAGAAGAGGGGTGGTGGAGTGGCAGGGGGCACAGGGCAGGGGTGAAGAAGGGGGTGAGGGGAAGGAAGTGGTTGGGGATGGTGAGGAGTGGGAGGGTTAAGAGGTGGGGTTATTGGGGAATAGGGCAGGGGAGGGTGTGGGGGCTGTGAGACTTTGGTGAGTGGGGGAGGGTCTGGGGAGGGTGATGTTTTATGGGGGTGTTTGGACGATTGTGCAATGGGTAGGTTTTTCGGGGAGCTGGGGTTGGAGTGGTGAGGAGATGTGATGGGAGGGAGGGGGTCTGACAGGAGGTTTGGGGGGTTGGATTTATTTGGGGTTTTGGGGTGAGTTTAGTTAGAGAGGGGGTGGCAGGGTTGGATGGATTGAAGTGGGTGGCTGGGGGGTTATTTGGGGATTAGATGGGGCGGTGGGAGGGGGTTTAAGCAGAGGTGGGTGGGAGTTGGGCAGGTGGGTTGGGGGACTATAGCAGGGGTTGACTGGGGGCGGAGGGAGTGGGCCATTTGGGGGCCCGTGGTGGGGGGGTTGGGTGTACACTGAGGAGGGGGGTTAATTGGGGGTCTGTGCGGGGTTGGGTGTGGGCTGAGGAGGGGTTGGGGGGTCTGTTTTTGGGGGTTGGCTCTGGGCTGAGAAGGGGGGTTATTCGGGGGTCTGTGGAGAGAGTCCAGAGGAGAGCAACAAAACTGATCAAAGGCCCTGTGAGGAAAGGTTAAAAAGATTGGACGTGTTTAGTCCCAAGAAAAGCAGGCTGAGGGGGAACCCGACAACGATCTGCAGACACAGTCAGGGCTGTTGGAAGGAGGAGGGGGACTGGGTGTTCTCCATGGCCACAGAAGGCAGGACAAGAAATAATGGGCTGAATCTGCAGCAGAGGAGGCTTAGGCTCGATATTGGGGAACTCTGTAACTCTAAGGACAGGGACGTGTCAAACAGGTCGCCAAGGGAGGCGGTGGAGTCCCCGTCGCTGGAGGTGTTTAAGGACAGGTTGGACGCTTGAGCTTTACTTGGGCCTGCCTCAGTGCAGGGAACTGGACTAGACAACGTCTCCAGGACCCATCGAGCCCCATAGGTCTACACTTCTCTTTCAGGAGCTAGGGGATTGAGCATCAGAACCATTTCCTGCCCCCCACCCCCTTCTTCTGACGCTCGTTTATAAAGCCACAGCAATTCTCGGCGGGGAGGTTGTGACCCAGCAACGCCGCCTGGAGACAGAACAGGAGCTTCGCTGCCAGTACCAGGGTGAACGTTCAGGCTCCAGGCCAGCCCTGCCCTGTTCAGGGTTTTCCAGGGGGGATGGGACGCAGCAGCGGGGGCAGAGAGAGGGCTCAGAGTGGCAGTTTGTGGTTAGCGAGAGATGAACTCTGCCGGTGCAGCAGGGTGCTCATGTGGCCCAGAACTGCTCCTGAAGCCGTCTGGCCCAGGGTGGGGTTTAAACACCCCATCAAAGGGGGTTGCTGTTGCCTTTGGAATGCCCCAGATGACGCCAAATAACAGGATTTTCAAAAATCTACCTGGTAAAGACGCTTCAGCTGCTCCTGCCATGGGGCATCTTCCCTCCCCTCTGCAACACCCCCAGGGTCCCTGCACCTGCTTTATTCCTTCTCTGCCATCTCAGCATGTTCCTCCCAATGGCACCAAGCCCGTGCATTGCTGAGCACCCTTAAATCCTACTAGCTTCAGTGACTTTGGTGGGAGCTGAGGGTGCTCAGCTCCTTGCAGGAATCACTCAGCACTGTTTTGGGCACGAGTCAATAAG